AAAAAAAAAAAAAAAAAAAAAAAAAAAAGCCTCAGGTAAAGTCAAGAGGATGGGACAGATGGTCCACATTATTTTCAGTTATAAAACTCTGTCATTCTACAGGTTAAAGTTGCTACTACACTGAGTGCTGAATAATTGAAATATTAGCTTACCATAATTAAAAGTGGGAATATTTTAATTTTTTCTGCATTTATATTTAATAAAAAAAATCATCAGAGTTTAAAAGTACCTCTGAATGATACACTGCTTGCTGTGAAACTAATAATTCCTGGTTTTGTTTAATAAGAAGAGAAAGAATTGCATCTCCATGAAATTTTTTATGGGACATCTTCATCACTTGTCCTTCACTGGGAGGATCATCTTCCTAAAAGAAGCATAAAGATAATACATCAAAAACTTTATTAGACAATTACATTTTCTCAATTATGATTAATAAAAACTTAGCCATCAAATGATGATATCAGCAGTTTGTGGAAAGAAGATGAACTCCTTATTTTCATTTAGCTCTCATTTCCACAGGACTATAATAAAAACACTTTAATTTGCTTCAAATGAATATAACAGTATAATTAATTTATCAACATTAAACTTCAGATTTTTGTGAAAACTGGACCATCTTTCTCAAGCAACTGAATTATGATGATTTGCAAATATTTTACGTAGTGCCTTCAAGTTTTGGGCTCACAAGTGTTCTTAGTTATGCAGTGCACCAAACAACACCATAGAGGGCAATAAGGATAAAGCCCTACAGTAATGCTGCAACCTGAACCATAGGCAAAACGAAAATGCTGTAGAGATATGTGAGAGTAAACTCTCTATTTCTTTTGCCTTTGTGCCTATGTCTGCCTATAATTGGGATGATTTTTCTATAATAAAATATTATCATTTGTGAAAAAAAAATAGACCTATCCAAAAATAAGGGACATTGTGGACTTAGAGTCAGACAAACTAGATTTCCTTGTAAATATATGTATAAATATTTTAAGTTCATTAAAAGTATTTTAAATTACTTTGTTTTTAATGAAATGAAGTTTCTTAACTTTGGAATATAAGTCCATATTCTCCCAGGTGTATATAGATAAATGCCTGATGGTATACGACTTCAAGTTATTCTGGGTTCCTCCAAGATATACTTTGTATTTGACTTGATTATAAATTTGTAGAATATCTGATCCAGATACAGTAAAAATATCAAAATTGGAAATTAGTTTTAAATGTAGAAAAAGAGAGAAGCTATAGTTTAGCCCTGGTTCCTGTTTATTTACTCTAAAAAAAATTTAAACATGCATTAGCATCAGATGAAATTCTAGACTGGATAAAAATGCCGCTATAGTATATTAAGTAGGCCAAGCGTTAGAATAATGCTCCTCTGAAAATAAAGATATCTTACTTATGTCTGATCCCCACATTATTTCATAAAAGTGCTCAAACTCTTTTCCCAATAGGTTCATCCAATTATTTACAATAAATACTTTAAAAAATAACTATTCAAATAAAATCTTATAAAAAATTCATGACGCATTTTCTTACACCTTTGTGAGAGAATATGTTTTTAAAGAACAGCAATACTGAACAAAGGATATGATGTGGATGAGAATAGATTATAATTACCTTTCTTGTTTAGATTTGAAAATGTGTAAAAAGTAAAGATTTCTATTCCTTAATAGCTTCTTTTTCAAAAGAAAATTCCTAGTATCATTTCTGTATGGCATATGTATTATATACATAATATGGCATTTTTAAATGTCAATTTTTCTTCTCTAGAAGTAGGTGATAATTAGGAAGGATTTGTATCCCTGGATCCTGTTTCTGTTTTTCTTTTTAAGCTATTAAATTTGTGTATTTATTAGCACAAATAATACATCTTCCTTAACCATGTTTAGAGAAAAATAACAAATGTACTATGAGAACTGTTGAAGTGGCTGTGATACTGCTCAAAACATTCGGGTTACAATGTATACTGAAACAGATTTCATTACCTAATTATATTTATTAACTGTATATTCTTCAACTATTAGAACTACAGAGGTTAACAGCAACTTTCTTCTTATTCTCACAATTATAACACTGCATAATGAAATGTGCAAACAACCTTAAATTCTTTCATAGATAACATTCATCTTTTTTGATACAGGGGATTGTTAAATTGCTCAGGCTGGCCTCAAACTGACAATCCTCCTGCGTCAGCCTTTAGAGCAGCTAATACTGACACCACTATATCCACTTTTTGGATAATTTTTTATTAAATTTTTATCTATATCTCATATAATTGAGAAAAAAACCTGATCAATGGGAATAGATTCACCAAAGTATTCTTCCTGTGAGGATACAATATTGGAGTTAGTCATTCCTTACCATTTCAAGGGTATCATGCAGTGTGCTGGATAAGCTATCATTTAGGTTTGTCAGACATAATCCTCCATTTCCTAAAGCTAGAGATTAAAATGCAACAATTCATAAAAAAAGAAGACAAACTTAGTAAATAATCTGACCAAAAAGTCATAGAAACTTACATTTAAACTATACTGCAAGAGAAATACTGGCAAAGTTCATATGCAAGTAATTCTTTTTTTTCTTTCCTTTTTGGTGGCACTGGGGTTTGAATTCAGAGCTTTGTGATTGCAAAGCAGGCACTCTACCACTTGAGCCACACCTGCAACCTTTTAACAGTTTTTAAAACAGTGTAATTTATAACAAAGATGTTTTTATTTCACCTATCAGTCTGTCAGAAATTGAAAAGAATTACAAACAGCACTGCAGCTATGAAATTGAGAAATGGGCACTCCTATAAGTTGTTAATATAATTAAGAACTGATTAAAATTAAAAGTTGATTAGTCTTTTTAATCCAGAAGGCACCCTGGCAGTGCATTGGTGTTTTAAAGGTGCCTATTCTGACTCCACAATTCCATTTCTAGGCACATATCCTATAGAAGTTATCAGGTAAGTGAACAAAGATATGTGCACTGATGGTCATTAGAGACTTGTGTGTAGTCTGGGAACATTTAAAACAATCTAAATGCCCTCTAGTAAGGTATTGTTTAAATGGGCTACACAGTCATTTAAAAAACTATATAGACCTATGTGTGTTGATATTGAAAGATGTATACTATACATATTATTAGGTTAAAAAAATCAGGTTTCCTAACAGTATGCATAGTATGATCCTATTTTAAAGGCAAATATACATACACATATGTATGTATTTAGGTGTCTACATAGACTAGAAGGATATACTTCAAACTATTCATGATAATAATTATATAGTAGGATTATGGAGAGAATTTATTTTCCAAAATTAGAGCCCAAAAATGTTAACTAACTTACACAAAGCCCCTATTCTGTCTATTGTACCATGTTAAGTCTTCAAACTGAAGCAAAAACACTTCAAACAGAGAAATATTGCTAAGGGAATTATCATAATATAACCCGTGAAATTAATTAATATAATTTAACTTACTTTTGGGAGCCAATTTTTGACCACAGCTAAATAAAATCTCTCCTTCAGAGATGGGTCTATCCAAAGTTTCTGTTTCAGTGACAGTAACGCTCAAAGTACTCTCCAGTGTTGATGAACCAGAACTTGTCACATGAAGTGGGGAAGGGGCCTTGGTACCCGCAAGAAATGGCGTAAAGGGAATTGATTCTGGAGGTGCAGGCTGAGGAGGGAAGTCCACACTCTCAGGTTCTTCATCCTTAGCCACAGACATTACACTAAGAAGATAAAGACAAATTTTGAATTTATTAAGTCACTAAAGGCCCATATTCATTTTTATGTAAAAAACAGATTCAAAGGTACTATGTCTCCTTTAGCAAATTATTTCTATGATCTATACTACAATTAATTAGCAAGATTAATTTTTCTAAAACAGCTTTTATGCTTTAGTCATAGGCAACCTTGAAAGCTCTTTTAGCCACAGAATAAATCTACATGGGATATTTAGCAAATGGTAATGCACACTAGGGAAAAATCATTTTCTAGCAACAGTCTGACCTCTGTCTCTATTAAAATCCCTTTCAAACCTTTTAAAAATGAGGTAAAGGTATAAATAAATTTCAAAAAAATTTTAAAAACTTCATGTTCGTAAAATTTCTTTCTTCTAAAGCATAGTGTGGACTGGGGATAAGGCTCAGTGGTAGCATGCTTGACTAACATGCACAAGGCACTGGTTTGACCCCCAGCACTGCAAAAAACAAACAAAAAAAGCTTTGCTTATCATTTCTGTGTTCCATGGGTTTATATAAGTTAAACATAAGCCTAAATTTATTGTTACTGAAAGTGAATATAGCTGGCCCTCCATATCCTTGAGTTCTACAACCAGGATTCAATGACAAAAAATATTTAGAAAAAATATGCATCTAAAGTTTTTTCTCATCATTATTCACTAAACAATAAAGTACAACAACTTTTTACATGGCATGTATGTTGATGTAGGTATTACAAATAATCTAGAGAAGACTTACATTATATGAGAGGATATGCATAGATTATATGCAAAACAATGCAATTTTTTACAAGGGACTTAGAGTATTTGTGAATTTTGGCATGGGGGGACTTTCTAGAACCAATTTCTCCTTAGATACAGAGAGGCAACTGTATGTTCTCATTTACATAGCTCTTGGGTGAAGAAGTTCTTCTTCAAGAGAGTTAGGATTCTCTTCGTCCAGTGGCAGGTCTCCATCATCCCATGGCTTGGGAAGCTCTGGGTTTGAAATCTTCAATTTATCAGTGGAAATCTCTGATAAAGTTGGGGTAAGAGCTGCTGCAGGAGGAGGTGAAGTAGCAGGGGTCATG